CAACAGGGTTACAGCATTGCTGGATAAGGGAAGAGCAACAGACATCATCTACCTGGACTTGTGCAAAATGTGACATTCTTCCACACGACATCTTCATCTCTAAATTGGAGAGACATGGATTTGATGGATGGACCCGTTGGCAGATAAGGAATTGGTCACACTCAAAAAGCTGCAGTCAACGGCTCAATATCCAAGCGGAGAGCAGTGATGAGTGGCATTCCTCAGGGGTCAGTATTGGGACCAGTGCTGTTTAACATCTTTGTCAGCAACACGGGCAGTTGGATTGAGTGCACCCTCAGCAAGTGTGCAGAAGGACACCAAGCTGTGTGGTGCAGTTGACACACTGGAGGGAAGGGATGTCATCCAGAGGGACCTTGACAGGCTTGAGGCATGGTGGGCCCGTGCCAATATCATGAAGTGCAACAAGGCCAAGTGCAAAGTCCTGCACAAGGGTCGGGGCAATCCCAAGCACAGATACAGGCTGGGCGATGAGTGGATTGAGAGCAGCCCTGCAGAGAAGGACTTGGGGGTATTAGTGGATGAAAAACTGAGTATGAGCCAGCAATGTGCGCTTGCAGCCTGGAAAGCCAATCACGTCCTGGGCTGCATCAAAAGAAGCCTGATCAGCAAGTCGAGGGAGGCGATTCTGCCCCTCTTGCTCTGCTCTGGTGAGACCCCACCTGCAGTACTGTGTTCAGCTCTGGGGCCCTCAGCAGAAGAAAGACATGGACCTGCTCCAGCGGGTCCAGAGGAGGGCCACAAAGATGATCAGAGGGCTGGAGCACCTCTCCTATGAGGACAGGCTGAGAGAGTTGGGCTTGTTCAGCCTGGAGAAGAGAAGGCTCTGGGGAGATCTTATAGCAGCCTTCCAGTACCTCAACGGGACCTACAGGAAAGATGAGAACGGACTCTTTATCAGGGAGTGTAGTGACAGGACAAGGTAATGGTTTTAAACTGAAAGAGAGTAGATTTAGATTAGATATTAGGAAGAAACTCTTTACTGCGAGTGTGGTGTGACACCGGAACAGCTTGCCCAGAGAAGCTGTGGACACCCCATCCCCGGCAATGTTCAAGACCAGGTTGGATGGGGCTTTGAGCAACCTGGTCTAGTGGAAGGTGTCCCTGCCCATGGCAGGGGGGTTGGAACTAGATGATCTTCAAGGTCCCTTCCAACCCAAACCATTCCGTGGTTCTATGATACTACCATTTCATTCCTTCCATTACTGCTGTGATTTTTACATTACCAGTTAAAAGAGCTGAACCTGGGTAAAGTTTGATCAACATTTAGCTACCATTAAAACAAAGCTTTAAAAAAAAAAAAAGACAGGATGTGTAGGAATAGGTCCCGGCTGTCTTGTTTGAACTGGAATAAAATCACTTTGACAATCTATCTACAATTTCACCCTAAATGATGTACTGTTTAGAATGCATTGTAAACAATATCAGTATTGTATTCTCCCTCCAGCTATTATCTTAATTGATCTTATCAGACACATTATTTTTAAATATCATCAACCCATTAGCCTCTACTGATATAAGTCTTAACTAAAACAGACTGCTCTTCCCCAAGTGTTATTCTGAACATGGAGCTATTCTGTCCCTGGTATTAAGTTGTTTCAAGTTTAAAACAAAAGTTTAAAGAAAAATACTTACAGAGGGTATACTGGAAAATTATACGACTAACAGCTCACCACTTCTTCCTCAACCTGTTCCCACCATCATCTCCAACAAAATAACTATGGAACTGGCATACACTTGGATGCAAGTTTATATTGGTACCAACTATGGAGCGTCTAACAAGAACAAGTATACTAGTTATACCACACCAGGCATACTAAAAAGCCGAATAAGGAAGAAACCTCTATTAAATTAGGTTAAGTGGATTATGCTTACTGTGACATTGGCTCCAGTCAAGCGATTAATACGACGCATGTGTTTGCAGAACTCTGGTCCATGAGATTCACGATCTTTGTCATTATTAGTAACAAAAAGCAGGGCATGGATCATTTCATGCAACAGTGTCTGAAACAACGGAAATCATTAGCTATTTGCTGAAAAACATTACGTATAGTTTCAAAATTAAGCTGGAAGTATTTTACTCCTCTACATTTATCTCGGTACTGATCTTATTTTCATGCATTCACACATGTTCAATCGGGGTCATAAAAACATAATACTTAATTCTACCTGTCAAATCCAATTACCTCTATTCCCATACCACCAAAACATGCTGGAGAATATTACTACAATATGTGACATTCCAAAAATGAGAAATAATTCTCAAACTTAAGTTAAATTTTTAAAGAGATGATCCCCTCTACAACCCAAAAAGAGACACTTGTAAGAAAGTTGAAACTCTACAGCATTTCTGTTCATTAAGCAAATCTGAACGTTAAGCCAACTCAAAGCAGCAGCCCTGACGGAGGCACAAGAAGCAACACAAAGTTATGCTTACAATCATATCCTATATCCTTATTTTCTGCTGTTGGCCTTTTGTAGATGAAACTACAGCTATTTTCTGATCGTGCTTTCAGTCCATGTTTGGTTTTAATATTAAATGATAATTTAGGAGTAAAAAAGTTGGGTTTTTTCTCTTTATAAAAAGTCAGTAACATAAACAAGTGACTTTAGACTCCTACTCAGAGTTGCTCATTTAGAAACACAAAACTGAAAAATTACCACAATATTGCAACACAAATGTAACAATAAAGTCTGTATATAAGAATCCCACTATGAAATGTAAAATGTTTGTATGGAGTCAGAGGAGGCACAATACATTTTATGTGCAGATTCATGAGCAATCTTCAAATACCTCAACGAGATCCTTCCTTGGTCTTAACTTTAGAAGTGGCTCACTTAGACGAATGGAACACATTCCACCTTTTCCTTCGTATCTACATACTCCAGCACAGCTGAGAGACACAGAAAGAAAATATGAAAAGCTACTTGTTTCTGTAGTACATGAAGAAAATTGAGAATTGGAGTTAAAACACTGTCCCTTTCCAATGCATGCTAGGTAACTCTGAACAAGAAAAGACACTTTTAGTAGTTGCTTGAAAAACTCCACATCATTAAGAAAAAAAAAAGCCCACAAGTTCCTTACAATAAGCTGTGACTGAAATAGCAAAAGTGAAACTGTAATTTATTAGATCTCTTGCAATCACTTAATACAAAGCTAGCAATCCTGGAAAAAAACAAAGATTCAAAATCATAATGGACTGTTCCAAGCTAACCTGTTTAGGAGGCAGAGGACTGTTTTCATCAGAACTTCTGATGGAGTGAAATACATAAAACAGAGGCTGGAGATTCACAGCAGCCAAAACCAATTTAACTGCTGGTTGCTGCAATTTCACCCCTCACCCTCCCCCAACTTTTGACTCTTACTGAACCTTCACTTCCATGTGCTAATTCAGCAGAAAACACTTTTTTTTTTTTAATCGAGTTAGTCCTCTACCAGTTCAGCATCCAAATATTTTCAAGTGTCCAAAGAGTACTGCAACCAGCAGAGCACAAGAGGGGGCAGGACTCCAGCAGCTAGCAACTGCATCAGCTGATCTGCTGCAGAACTGCAGCCTCCACTTCAAAGCTTTTTTTTGTTTTCATCCCAGATTGCCTATATATTCCCCTTCCTAGTCCATTCTAAGTCTTAATTTGCTATTATCAAGTCATATTTGCCCTTCTGCCATGCTGTAAAACTATCATAAAAACTGAGAATAAGAAAAATGACAGCAATACAATCATGTTAAGTTTTGAAACACGCAGTTTAAGACCAAGTTATTTATTCCACTTTAACATCTCTCCAGTTATGCCTGCACCAGAGGAAAAGCCACTTATGGCTGCTAAGGACGACAAACGAAGGACAAAACAGACAATGACCAACCCACATCCTGGGGTACAAACTATGTTAGAAAAGCAAGACGTTCAAATATCTGGAAGAGAAGCTGTGGCACTCGCCCATGGTGCCTACAAAGCCCCAGTCAGGAGCAGCACATAGCGACATACAGCTTTTCCTCCCCGAAACCCGCAGCTATACGATGAGAGGAGCTGCTGCCCCTCTGACGGGCCGCAGCCTCCTCCCACAGCTCTGGCCCGGCACCAGCACCATGCTGGGGCCCTGCAGAGGCACGGCAGCTTCTGAGCCCTAAGGCCGGTGAACGCCACCGGGCGGCACCGGGAAAGGCCTTACCGGGCCCCCACACCCC